TGAAAGGGAGGCTGGCCATTTGAGAAAGAATGGGCAGGACAGTAGTTAAGAGGCAGAGCACATACTTTGCCTGCAGGAGCTCAAATCCTTGGCATCTCTAGCTAAACAGGGTCAGAAGGAGATGGTAAAGACCACTTGCCACCTGAGCCCATGGAAAAGGGGCTGAGAGCCAGAAGAGACAATCCTGGCCTAGAGAAACAAAGAGTTTGATGTAGCATAAGGCAGTTTTCTCTGCTCTCAAAGCCATCATCCTCATTTTTAAATAATAAAAACCACTCAATGCCACTTGAGGGCTGCAGAAAGTACCCACTTGCCTCCCTGACAGAACCAATCAAAAATGTACTGTTCATAGATACTGGACTAAAGAGACTTAGGGCCTGATCCAGCAGCCAGACCCTCTTTTTATGTTAACACTGGTGAAAATCTGCAAAATAAACGGGTCTAGTGGCGGTGATGGAGTTGAAGCAACAACTGTAACCCCAAATAATCTGACTAACACCAAAGGGAAGAGCAGTCATTTTAGCAGCCTTGTACATTAGAACTCACAAAGCCCTCCACCGGTTTTTTCATGCTGAAGGAACGGGCTGTAAGCAAATCGGGATGCATGTGGTGTGCAGTAAATCAATTTTGCTATTGTGACAAGTTGTTTTGACAAAAGCCAGGAAAAGGTTTGAAATGCAAGTGGGGCGGGGGGGGGGGGAGACAATAGAAGCCAACTGGGATAAAGGGAGGGGATAAGCATGATGGGCTGCCCCTTAAACAAGAGCAGGATAAAGACAACTAGCAAGCAGGCGAGGCCACATCTGCACCATACATTTAAAGCACCATAATACCACTTTAAACAGTCATGGCTTCCCCCAAAGAATTGTGGGAGCTGTAGGGTTAAAGGGTATCAAGAGTAGTTAGTAGACCCCTATTCCCCTCCCAGACCTACAATTCCCAAAGGCACTTAACAATCAAGTCCTCTTCTCTGGGAACCCTGGGAATTGTAGCTCTCTGGAGGGAGCAGCAGTCTCTTAACAACTCTCAGCTTATGAAAGCAAGTTCCATGCTTGCACTGCACGGAAGCGTACCCATTTTGGAAATTTGGGGTACAATAAAACACAATGCTAAATTGTCCAAAGCTGCAAGTCGGCACAGCCTGATGCTCACCACCAATCACCAACTTCCCATGTCCAGCCATTCTGCCTCTTGGCATCTGCCTCTTCACTGTCTAATACCAAAGCACTAGCTTCTCATATAACTAGGAAGCTACTTGGGACAAGTTCCCCCCCCTCCCTGTTAGTTTGTAATGTTACATTCATATAGGTGTTGTTGTATACTATGCCAAAGTTTACTTTGCAGTATTTAACTACCTCTCTACCCTTTGAAAAAAGGGGGAAATCAAGGAAGCATCTTCTGCTGATGCGGTCCTAGGCCTTCAGTCCTTTTCAGCAGATGTCAATCCAACGCTAATGCAGCTCATATGTATCACTTTGACCTTCCCAAAGGCATAGGCTAGAACCACAAGCCTTTCCAGGGCACGGAAATCTTTGTTTCTCTCCACAAAGCAGCACCAAGCCCTAAAGCATGGGTAGGCAAACTAAGGCCCGGGGGCCAGATCCAGCCCAATCGTCTTCTAAATCTGGCCTGCGGATGGTCCGGGAATCAGCGTGTTTTCACATGAGTAGAATGTGTGCTTTTGTTTAAAATGCATCTCTGGGTTATTTGTAGGGCATAGGAATTCGTTCATTATTATTATTTTTCCAAATATAGTCTGGCCCCCCACAAGGTCTGAGGGACAGTGAACCGGTCCCTTGCTGAAAAAGTTTGCTAACACCTGTCCTAAAGCAAAGCTTTTTACCATTGCATGAGTAAGACTACCCCACTTCCACATGATAAATCAAAAGTGCCCTCACTAAAGCCTTGCTTACTTTTAGAGGTCAGCTCCTCTAACATATTAGAGCAGGGGTAGTCAACCTTCTTATACCTACCACCCACTAATGCATGTTTCTTGATGCTAAAATTTCCTTACCACTCGCCAGTGCTCAATAGAAGGGGGACTCAGCTTCTGCCATAGAACCCCCCACTGCCCACCTAGAATCCTGAAACACCCACTAGTGGGCAGTAGGGACTAGATTGTCAACCCCTGGATTAGAGAGATAAGCACACCTGGGGCAGGCTTTGCCCATGTTTCCCACTAGCCCATCCAAATAACTCTGGTGCTGAATCTGATGAACCAAGCATGGAAGTGACTACCAGAGCTGGGTGGACTCCTCCTCTTGAATCAGCATACAAGCCTTCCAGGAGTAGGAGGAGAAAAGGAGGGGATGGTGCAATGCACTATTAAACAGAGGCCACCTTCCATCCTGGATGGAATTACAAGTGACAGGTGTCTAATGGCCTGTGGCAACACTACACTCCCAATTACGGGGGTTTCTTTCCACCTGAGGCAGTGATCCAAGTGACCTGAACAACATAGTGTATTGTTAATGCTTTACAAAGCAGGAATATGGTGCCGAGGCAGTGTTTGTTTCCCTCAGACTTTTACAAATAATGATCCTGAGCGTTTAAAGAGTGCTTCGGGGGTGTCGTGTTCACAGACACTGTAATTTGTGGTGCCCAATTCAAAGCACCATATACCTTGAAATCACCCAAAGTGGAGGGAAATCCAAGGCAGGTTTGGTTTCTCTTGTCGAATCCCTTCCCAGCCCTGCTGTTAACTGATCAGGGCTCCAGATATATTATACAGCAAGCAGGAGAGAGGGGTGGGAGACAGAGTTAAACCTCAGCACCTCCATGAAAGCAAATCTGTACCAGAGATGAGAAGACCTTTTTGGCAAACAAGGGTGCTAATTGTTCCTGATTTTAGAAGGCAAGCTATGCTTGCAAGCAAATAATCTCAATTTCAAGTCAGGTTCTTCAACTGCAGTAACACACACACACACACACACACACACACACACACACCACACCACTGCATGGTCACCACCTACTGCTGTGAGCCTGAACAGCTGCTCTTAATGCGCTGCAAGGGCTCTTGATCCTCTGACCCCAAAAAAGTTTGGCTCCCCAGCCCTGACCCCTGCCTCACACAAACAAATGACCAAATGGCTCTCAGCAATTGGCTTGGGAGTGTAAAAGAGTGGAGGCAAATTAACTGTAGGGAATGTATGGCCCTCCAGATGTTGCCAGGACTCTAACTCCCATCAGCCCCAGCCAACATGGTCTATGGTCAGGGATGGTGAGAGTTGCACTCCAACAACTTCTGGAGGTACACAGGCTCCTCCATCCCTGGCTTATTGAAAAAGCCAAGTTCTATCTAACCAACAACACACACAAAAATATGCTGTTGAGGGTCTGACAAACCTCTCTAGGGAGGGAGCCCCACAAAGCTCGTGCCATTACTGAGAAGGCCCTGTTTCTAAGGGATGCATGCTGAGCCATCAATGCACCACAAAGGACTAATTGGGGGGGAGGAAAAGCTGTGTGTCAGAAAGGAACTAATATACATTTCACAAGTTAATATCTGCACTGTAGAGTTAACTGTAGCTGGCAGAAGAATTTGCCCCGGTAGGGGAGCAGTCTTCCTGACCCCATTACATCTACCCTGGCCCCAAGGCTATCAAACTTTACCCCTATCAACCCCACAGGACTAGGGCAATGCTGTTTCCAGGTAGAATTCAGTATGCACAACTTAAAAGCTACAAGATTTGCCTGTGACTCCACACAAGCCCAGAGCGTTAAGCATTCTATCAACACAACACATTAGAAAAATTGTTTCTGGTGATTTATTTCCATCGGTGTTTTCCCCCTCTTCTTTTGAAAAGCACATCAGTCTTTCCTTCCCACAGCGCTCTTCCAGCATGCCAATGATTTTTTTTTTTTTACAGCAGAGCAGATGACAAATATAGTAGCGCTTGTAAGCTTGCTCTTTTGATAAGAGAATCAGGAATAAATACACACATCCTGGTGGAAACAAGAGCACTGCAAGTAGTCATGGAACTGGAGCATCCGCTACCCTGAGGAGCGGGGAACGCCCGCCTTAAAGGCAGCAGGTTTGGGGCAATATTAAAAAGACAGATAAGTGGTCAGCTTAATGGTTGTTGTTGTTTTTTAAAAAAAACAAGCTCATGTAACATGCCCTTACCTTTAATTCTACAAAAATGCAATCATTTTATATGTATAAAAGTATATATAAGAATAAATCATTGGGTGTTTGTGGAACTTGGACATGTTTCTTCTCCTTGCCTGCAAAACCCTCCATAGACTTCCTCCCCCTCCCCTGCATCTCTCTGCCCTTATAGCCCAGCACACCTGCAACCTTCACTCATCCAACTCCATCACCCTTAGACATCTGAAGGTCTCCTGCTCTGTGTAACACAGACATAGGTAAACTCGGCCCTCCATATGTTTTGGGACTACAACTCCCATGAGCCCTAGCTAATAGGACCAGTGGTCAGGGATGATGGGAATTGTAGTCCCAAAAAACATCTGGAGGGCAGAGTTTGCCTATGCCTGGTGTAACAGCTCCACTCTCCCTCTCATACTGGCCCTTATGGCTGGAACAATCTCCAGAATGTCCCCATGTGATCACCTTTCTTGCATACTTCAAATCCCTCCTCAAAAAACCTTTTAGTGAAGCCTCTGCCATAGCCCTCAGTCCCAATACCCTACTGTAAGCAAGCCAATGTTCATTTAATTTGAATCATTGCATATTATTTCCTGGTTTACCCCTCCTCTGTTCACTTTGCATTTATTTTTAAATAGCAAGTCCCAAGAGATAGAGATCAGTTGTCTCATTCTTCCTTAAAGCACCACATGTGTACAAAGTGCTACATACACAACAACAAAAGTCAGTTCTCAGCGCAACAGAGCATGCACTGGTCAAAATTATCCATTCAGCTATGGCAGCAATTTACATCCCTCCCTCCCCTGTGAACTTCAGCCAAGAAAACTAGGCTGGGCAACACAAACACACCATGTGGTTTAGATTCCAAAGAGTAGGATCTCTCTCTTACCTCCAGGTCTGTAGACCACATCATCCTCTGTGATGAAAGAGGTGATTTCTCCGTTGTCCGTCCTCTCATAGCGAGATTTCTTCTTGGGGGGTTTCTTCTTGTTCTTCTTTGTGGACTCCTCTGTGGTGGCGCTGTTGTTGTCATTGTCCTCGTCCTCACTGTGGTCGCTCTCTGCGTAATTCTTGGCTCCGCCTTCCAGGGTGCAGCTCCGACGGGGCCGCGAGTTCTCGCTCTCCCGTGCCTTCTCCCGCTTGTCCCGCTCTCGGTCTCTGTCCCGGTCCCGGTCCTTGTCTTTCTCTTTGTCCTTCTCTTTGTCTGCTGTCATGATTCGCCAGGTGCCTTCTTCTGTCCTCTCACGGCTGGGCCTCCGTGAAAGGTAGACAGTGAGCCTGGGCTTCAGTCTTCTGAATTTCTCACTCAATTCCAGGAAAAATTCGACCACTCCAACAACCCCAGCGTTTTAAAAAGGCTCTTTGAAAAGGAGGGGGGAAAGAAAATGTTAGCCATGTTAGCCATCGGAACTCTTCAACAACTATCTCAACTTCTTTCTAGGGAAAGATTAGACATTTAGGGGAAGGAAATATCAATGTTAAAGTTGTTTCACAGCAGGATATTCAAACAACAGCCCCTATCATGCTCTAATGCCGTGCTTTCATCTCTACACACAAAGCATGGCTCCTCTCAGACTTCCCAGCACTCTCACACACTTATGTACAGCCAGTTCCATCAAACATGACTAGAGTGTCCCAGAACATTCATGGCAACATTGGCAGATGAAGATAGACTTCTTGGAGCTGGCCGACCTGACCGGAAGAATCCGCGGACAGAAAGAGGAGGAGTACCAAGAAGAATGGAAGAAATTTAAGGATTATTTAGTTAAATATTCTAATATAAGTAGTACTATTTGTGAGTACCAAATTGGGTTAGGAGTTAAATGTTTTAAATTGCATAACACTATGGATAGAAGTGAATATGATAAGAAAGAAAGATGTTAATTGATTAAGTTAATTTTATTGAAATTAGTATTGGAAAACTGCTACAATCAGTCATATGGAAACTCAGCTAAAAGGATCTGAGGAAGTCATTTAACAATGGTAAAAAAAGTGGGATTATAATAGTTAGGATAAATGTTGCATTTTTTTGTTTTTTATATTGTTTTTTATATTGTAATGTTTTTTCCTTTTGTTGTTTATGTTTGTTATAAACTTGAAAATCAATAAAAAAATTGGAAAAAAGAACATTCATGGCAACATTATGCCAATGAAAGAGCGGAGTTACACAGATACGTGTTTGATTGTTGTGGCGGACGCTGCTACTGAGAGCTATGGGACAAGCAAACGTGATGTAGAATGTGTTGTCTTGTCCCCACAGCTCCTAATCTCCCGCAATCATGAGGTCCTTCACCCACGCACATCCAGCCTGTCGTGACAACAGTTCCTTCACAAATATAAAAATGTCATTTTGAGAAAGAAGGATTTGTTTATTTATTGCACTTATTAATTCCCCCACAAAGAAAGTGACTCAAGGCAAGTTATAAAATATTATAAAAAGTAAACCCAGTATAAATCCAAAACAAAAACCTGAAAACACATCCAGACGTATGCAAAAGGTAAGCCGAACACATCCCACCCACTGGAAATATCTGATGTGCTCCAAATTTAGGGTTGAAAGCTTGGGTAAGAAACAACACTTGTACCTGGCACCTAAAAATAGTGATGGTGCCAGATGTGCCTCCCTGGGTATAGCATTCCGCAAGTGGAGAAGCCACCAATGAAAAGCTCGTTCTCATGCCACCACCTTCTGCGCCTCCCTTAGAGGAAACACATGGAGGAGGGCTTCAGATGACAAACACAGGGTCCTGGCCGATGTATTTAGGAAGCGGTGGCCCTTGAGCTACTGGGGTTCAGAGCCACATAAGGCTTTTTAGGTGAAAATCAGCACTTTGAATTGAGCACCATATATTAATGTACTCTGAGATTCGAGTGTGGTGGGTCACTGGACCAAACAGGCATTGCACTGCACCCTAATGACAAAATTTACTTTAAAGAGAAAAAAAGAGGGGTACATAATTAACAGAGAAAATATTATGAGCTCAGGTGGAGCAAATTGCAGAATACATATTGACACAGCCGTGGAAAATACAGACAACAATGATATCTAGGCTCACACCTCTCCAATAAGCCACACTTTTCTTTCCTGCAGACAAGACTGCCATCGTCTATGAATGATAGCTGAGTGAAGAGGAAGAAGACTTTGCAACTCAGCCTTCCCAGAGAGAAAAACAGCCTCTCTTCATAACCTGCTACATAAAATTGCCCGTCTTCAAGTCAAGGGAAGGGCTGTAATAAGGGAGCACTGCCACATATTGTTAAAGCCTCTTGTTCTCACGGTTTGAAGCTAAGCCTTTTACCTGACGACTGCTTCCCTGTCAATCTCCGGGCCGCCAATCTGGACTGACAGGTTGTGTATGACACGGGGGGGGGGGGGCGCTTTTCTGAGTAACAGCCAGCAGAAAAGCTGAAGCTGGGCTAAAACTGCCGGCAGCTGCTGCCCTAGAAAGCCTTATGACTGAACAGAATTTTGCACCAGTTAAGGAATCCATCAGCACACTTCTTGAGCGAAGGCTGGAGAGTTACAGTCTCTTAACGTTATGTGCCAGTGCACATAGTAAAGATACACTGGCTTTTAAAATGAGAGTCTTCACAGACAATGGCTTTTCCAGCAGCCATCTAGCCCTAATAAACTACTACCACTCCTGCTTAATGATTCTGTGAGTGGCGTGCTAGATTCTGGCAGAAGACAGCATTTTACAAAATGGAGCTTATGTGGTGGCTAAGGGACTATGTCCCCGACACCCCTTTCAAATATCCCCTCCCTCACGAGCTAGGTGGTCAGACGGCTCTCCCAGGATCTACAACAGGAGGGTGCTCATATTAGCCTGCTGTACTGAGCACTGCAAGCACCCTGAATGCTCTAAAGCAGTACAGTGGTACCTCGGGTTAAGTACTTACTTCGTTCTGGAGGTCCGTTCTTAACCTGAAACTGTTCTTAACCTAAAGCACCACTTTAGCTAATGGGGCCTCCTGCTGCTGCTGCTGCGCCGCCGGAACACAATTTCTGTTCTCATCCTGAAGCAAAGTTCTTAACCTGAGGTAATATTTCTGGGTTAGCAGAGTCTGTAACCTGAAGCGTATGTAACCTGAGGTACCACTGTATATAAATGCAAAGTGTCCGTATTCCTGCCCAGCCCTTGAACTTGAAATCTCCTCAGCGGAGGGAGGGAGGACTGGACCCTCCAGCAGATATCTAAACCTCAGAAATTCTGAAGAACTGATGGGTCCAAACAGCCTCGCACTAGGACTGAAGGTGACTATACCAGCTGCTTGGGTTTTTGGCTGGCACTCAGACTTCCTACTCCCCATCTCCTCCAGAGTCACAGGACCCAACAAGATGGTGAGTCAAGCAGAAGCTTCAGGGCCACTAAAGTGCCCAGCTAGCTGCACACAGGGTGGAAAGGGAAGTGAATGGAAGCACACAGCCCAGATCAGGATCTGGTTGAAAACCAGGAAGGGATGGAGCCTCAATTTCCTCTACAAGTTCCTGGTCTGAGCTACTTCACTGCTGAAGCAAACCCCCAAACTCCAGCCTTCCTGAATTGGCGGAAATAGGCAGCTTCATAGGCCATTTTTTAAAAAATCTTGCCCAGCATTGTGTACTCTGACTGGCAGCAGCCTTCCAAAGTATCAGAGACAGGGGGGCAGGCTTTTCCCTTCACCTGATCCTATTAATGAGAAGATTGAATGTGGGACTTTCTGTATACAAAACATGCTCTACTGCTGAGCTATGGTCCTTGCCCTAAAAATAAAGCAAGATTTCAATCTTCATGGTTCTCAATACAGAGCGGATTTACAGCTGAAGCTGCCTTAGACCATCAGTCCAGCAAGCTTCAACCTACGCCAAATGGCAGCAGCTCTCTCTCCAAGATGTCAGATGAGTCTTTCCCAGGCCTAAATGGAGACTGAAGCTGGGAAGCTTCTGCATGCAAAGTTTGAGCTCTGTTGCTGAGCGATGAGCCTCCCTCTAAGTGTGTGTGCAGCTATACAGTCACGTGGGAAAAGGCTAGTGGGAACTGGCATGTTCACTCCTGGGGAGCCGGCGGCAATTGGTGTCTGCTGGAGGAAAAAGGAAGAGCAGCTGACATCACAGAAATAGTTGCCTGCTTCCCTCATGTACCATCCATGTAGCAGACGTAGTTATGTAATCAACATACAGGACTGCGGGGGTTGTTGTGAAAAGCCTCATGCATACCGCCGCCCCCAGGTCCTTTGAGAAAAGGGCCATGTACAAAAAAAATAAGAGAAGAAAGTTGGGTGTGTGTCAAAAAGCACCAATAGCAAGTGAGCTTGTGTGGAGAAGGGAGTGGAAAGAGGATAAATTGGGGGGCAGGGAGGCAGCAAGTCTTGTTCCTGAAATACAGTGGTACCTCGGGTTAAGTACTGTAATTCGTTCTGGAGGTCCGTTCTTAACCTGAAACTGTTCTTAACCTGAAGCACCACTTTAGCTAATGGGGCCTCCCGCTGCCGCCGCAGCACGATTTCTGTTCTCATCCTGAAGCAAAGGTCTTAACCTGAGGTACTATTTCTGGGTTAGCGGAGTCTGTAACCTGAAGTGTATGTAACCCGAGGTACCACTGGCAGTAGCTTCGTATTTTTCCAGCCAAAAGTTTATGTCCCACACCAGGAACAGGTGACAGCCAGATTAGGTAAAGTATCCCACGACCTCCTGCCATTAGTGCAATGATTTACCCTTGAACAATGAAACTCCCCCCACATCTCCTCCCCAATTCTTCTCCAGAAGTGGGGGGGGGGATGCAGAACAGATTTAGAGGGTGTAAGGGGGAGGAAAGTTCCATTGTGTAAGGGAAAGTTCCATGGAAGGAAAGGCTTAGTGCTGCTTTGGGTACAAGCCTAGAGTTCTGACCCAGAATTTAACCCACGTTTTACAGCCTGCCAGCTCAGAGGTGCCAGGGTTGTGCACAGATGTGCAAAACCACAACGTTTTACCACTGTGAAGCTTTGGAAAGCTTTGCCCATATTATAAATTCTCTCCACTATAGCCCCCCACTGTCTATTACCATGTGCTGACTAAGCACAGCTTATCAGGTGAGATTGGCTAGGTCCATGGGCCACAGTAAGATTTCCCACCTTGGAGAATATTACTTATCATGTTTGTACACTTTCCATAAAACTATATCCACATCTAATGCTTAAATGCTTGAACCTTTTAAAAAATGCAGAATTTTTCAAAAGGCTAGGTCATAGAATTGTACGGTTGTCAGGGAGCCAAGGATCATCTAGTCTAACCCCCTGCAATGATAAAGTTTGTTTAGAATGCTTACACGCCTATAAAGAAATGAAGGAAGGAATGTTCCAGCTCTGTGCACCTGAAATCTTTCCTCTTAGACCCTAACA